ACCCAATAGTATAAAACACAAAAGAGCTACAGCACAACTACACAAACTAATAAATCAGTTTAAAAACTCTAGATCTACAGTACTATTTTGAAATGAGTTATACTACAAAGCAGACAAAGGAGTAGTAAGTAATGAATTATTAATAGAAGCCATTTTAAACCTCAACCCAAGGAACAATCAGTCCAGGTAGAATTAATGAAGTCATGCAAATTTATGAAAATACAATAAGAACTTAATAAGAAAAGCAAATGTAATGCAAATGCATAATGAAGATTAAAAGTTGCAAAGCCATTTGAGCAAAGCCTTTGTGCAAAAGCAATCCCACTGCTGCCATGAAAAGGTATTAGTGTTAAATAAATGGTAAGAGAAATGTGTTTCTGTGATGTGACGGATCCAGAGAAAGAAACTGAGTAAGGATGTGTGGTGTACCCTCAGGTGTTTCCACAACGTTCGTCTCAGCCCGAGCGTCTACAGCATCAGCGGCCGGCCACAGGTGCAGGGTCTACCAGCTCTTCTGAAGGGGCTGCCGGCGTTCCTGCCTCAGCTTTGGATGATGCATCCTCAGGCTTAGCTGCAACATCTCCAGGAGCCTCAGGAGCTACTCCATGACTAGCTTCAACAGCGGTTTTGGCTACTTCTTCAGGGCTAGGTTCTGTAGGGGCTTCTGGGACAACTTCTGCAGAAACTTTGACAGCATCTTCAGCTTTGATTTCTGGTTCCTTTTCAACAACAATCTCCTCCGTAGACGCCTTTTTAACATCTGTTGCGGTGTCCACTGTCTTGTCAGGAGTGTCAGCTGTAATTGATTCACTGGACACTTCTGGAATTGCTTCAGTTGTGGAGGGAGATAATATAGGGGCAGGATCAATAAGGGTCTCATCTGATCCATCTGGTTTAGCACTTGGTGCAGGAACCTCTTCTGGTTTTGCTTTAGTCACAGTTTCAGCATTTTCTTGAGCTTCTCCAACTGAGGCAGATTCAGGCTTTGCTTCCTTATCTGCAACATCTACTTCAATCGTCAGACCAGGAGATTTCTTCTGTGCTGCTTTCTCTCCAGACTCGACTGGTGTTTCAGTCTTTGGCTTCTCATCATCAGAATCAGAGTCTGAATCAGAATCACTGGAGGATGAGGATGAAGAAGAGCTATCGTCTTCATCTTTCTGGCCTTCTGCCTCAACATCTGAGGCCTTACTTGCTTCACTTCCTGTAGTGACTTCCTTAGTAGGTGGGACTTCAGTGATCTCTTCAGCTGCTGCCGTATCTGCAACTAGACTGCCAGCTGTCGTCTCATTTGCAGCGGCTGTGGACACAGCCTCAGTGGTTTCAGACTCACCTAAAGCTATGTCTTTGGGAAGAAATCCTGTGGCAGACAGCTTAGAAGGGAAGGCAACTGCGGGCTTGTAGGCTAGTAGAAAAGCCCTCTCATCGGCCTCTATGGCTGAGGAAACGGCAAATGGGATAAATTACATGAGATTGTTTTTAGTTTATTACATTTGAGAAATCCTCCTGTTCAATGTAGACATTAAACCCAGCAAACACCACAAGAAAACCTTGCACACCCTGTCAAAGTCCCTTGCCTGAATGTGGAAAGACCAAAATATATTTGCTATGCTTCAATAAAATAGTTCATATCACCAATAAAGACTTGCAAAAATGTAGACTGTAGAAAGAATGCAGAAAACAGGTTAAAACTGCATTTTTCAGGCTAGTCCATCTAATGAGCAAACACATTGTTGAGCAATAATTTAATTTAAAGACCTCATGAAAACAAAAATTGTTGTTTTGCGCCTTTAAGTCCTTGTCTGTAATTCTAGAAGCCACCTACACGACCATTAAGACGTTTGGGGCAAGTATGTTTTTTTTTTCTAAAAAAGATCAAAAGTGAGGGCAAAGACGTGTGCGATGTTACAAAATTTCTTATTTCTATTTTCATCATTCCACTCATCAAAGAATCCTGAAAATATTAAGCAGAGTAACTATAGACTGGAGTAAATGCTGCTAAAAATTCAGCTTTACCATCACAGAAATAAATACAATTTTATAATATATTTAAAAAAGTGTTCTTAAATTGTTATAATATTTCAGAATATTACCTTTTACTGTATTTTGATCAAATAAATGAGCTTAAAAGAGTGAGCATAAGAAACGTATTTAAAAAACATTAAAAAAAATCTTACCAGACCCAAACTTTTGTAGTAGTGCATATTCTAGTGTACTACTAAAAGATGAAATGATTATCTTTTACCAAATATACAGTTTTAAAATGTACAAATAATTCCATGAAACATACCAATATCATCTTGCATTCAAGGGCGTATACAAATTTTGCATGTCCAATACAATGCTCTCTTGAATGACAATGTGTCCCTTTCCCTAAATTATAAATACCTGCCATCACAGACTAGTAGCAAATCATGGCTGTGACAAAAAAAAAAAAGGACAAGCTCTTTAATATGTCCCACACCAAACAAATTCATTAAAACCATTACTTTACACATTAAAAGTACTACAAAATTGTCTGTAAAAAAATCACCTTCAATAGTAAAAGCATTGATGAATCCCTTCACCAAAGATAGTCATCTTTTGAGGAAATTTGTGTACTTTTAAAAGCAATTAATATAACTGCATGGGCTCACATTGTATGTCCTCAACAAGTTCAGCCAAATGTAAATTATGCTTTTGAACGCACATGTCTTTGGAAAGCATGAGGGTGAAAGGATGGGATCTAGTGATCTAATCCAGAGGCTAAGGGCCTGTCCAAATACATACACTTATGGTCTTGGCCACTTGAGAGCATGTGCAGGTGACAGGAAGTAAGTGTGCAGGACTGTCCCAAGTCTAAAAAATGCCAAAAGCTCAGTGCCCTTAATGCACACCAAACCCACACTATCCCTAATACCATCATTCGTCATGGTCAGGAACTGAAATGCCCCAAAATCTTGAGAAAAACTTTACAGTGTCAGTTAAATTAACTGGGTATTACATATAATTTAGTAGCAAAACAAAGTGTTGCTGCTGTTGCACATTGCATTGGTGCAGAAACGAGTAAGTGTATTTTGCAAAATGTTTGCACGTATGACTGCCTTTCTTCAGTAGAACATAAAAGACTATATTTTGAAGAATGTCCATAACCAAACTGGTACCTGTTTTGGTATTTTTTCCATACAACAGAAGTCAATGGGAATCGAAACTGCTTGGTTACCAATATATTTTATTTTGGGTGAAATGACACGAGGGTGAGTAAATGATGACATAATTTTCATTTTTGGGTGACCTATCCCTTTAATTAGAAGCATCACAATCAAAAATTGTCTCGTCTGTTATATATAAGGATATTTGAACAGACATTCATTAGTTTATTTTGCAAAATATAGATCAAAATGTGCAAATATAGCTCTGTAAAATGTGACTTGCATTTTTACAACACTATGCTGTAAGTCTGTCTCATCAGCTAATCACATGTTTTACGCACCCTTGCAGTCGTCACGCCCACTTGAACACTTGGGCTAAATACAGGAAATACGTAATGTAAGTAGACTCATGTAAGTACAAAGGCAACAAGTGTGGGCATTGAGACAGGCCCTAAGAATGGCATAAGGTGCAAAATGGCTAAAATCACCTACAGCACCTCACAGCACAAATATTAATAATTAGACACATAATCATGCTCTATATAGTATTCATGCTATAGTATAGTATGCGAACATCACACAAACAGGACATTAAGGATGTATGGTAAGAAAAAGCATGCCCTTACTCTTACTTGAAGCCTTTGCCTTCTTTGCTGTTTTGGGTGGGACGTCCCCTTTAGTGCAGAGAGCTGCAACAAATGGGGTCCGAGGTGTGCTCCAGCTTTCACGCAGGAGACACTGTATGTACACAGAAAGGCATATTATTAATCCTGAAACATGTTGAAATTAATTAAAAATGACAATTATCTATAAATATATATGTTATTTAACGTAATGTAATATTTTACTGACATGACTATCTAATAACAACTTCACTTCACTGTTATTTATGTTATAACGGACAGAGATTCAAGTCCTAGCTGATTTGACGTGCTTTCACCAAAATCTTATGCGAAAGGCACTTCATACATATTTACAAAGTATCTCTAGACCATCTTCGTAGAAATACAGCCAAATCAATTTATTGTTACCTTGACAGATCCAAGTCGTCCTAACCTGAGCAGAAACGCCATCTTTGTTCTCCTGTTATTATTGTCCGTGTGGAAAATGAAATTCACGAATTGGTTGTTATCAATAGTTCCCTCAAAATGAAGCGTTTACGTTTTATTTTAAAGCAAGAAAGAACATAATACAAGTCTTCCATACTAGTATAGACAACATTCATTAGGCCTATCTAAATATATAGACCTCATACAGCTATCAGCATCAATATCAAGTATCCATTTGTATGGCATTTTCTCCACTTCCTATTTGTAACCTTGGAACACAAACCCAGTCATAAGGGTCAATTTTTCGAAATTGAGATTTATATATAATCTGAAAGCTGAATAAATAAGCTTTCCATTGATGTATGCTTTGTTAGGATAGGACAATATTTGGCCACGATACAACTATGTGAAAATCTGGAATCTGAGGGTGCAAACAAATCTAAATATTGAGAAAATCACCTTTAAAGTTGTCCAAATGAAGTTCTTAACAATGCATATTACTAATCAAAAATTAAGTTTTGATATATTTATGGTAGGAAATTTACAAAATATCTTCATGGAACATGATCTTTACTTAATATACTAATGATTTTGGCACAAAAAGAAAAATGGATAATTTTAACCCATACAGTGTATTTTTGGCTATTACTACAAATATACCCCAGCGACTTAAGACTGGTTTTGTGGTCCAGGGTCACATTTGACAGTAAATGTAATGTAATGATAACTTATATTAATAATCCAAAAACTAAGATGATATATAACATATTTCATACCACTGCACATGATTTCAAATGCATTTTATTCAAATCATTTCTAAAAATAAAACATCCAGACCCGACAGAACATGTGTGGCTCAGTTTATTCAGCTCTTTCCCCATATATTTTAAACTCACAAACATTATGAAAAGCAACAAGCATTTATTTCACAGCTAAGCTATGCTCTCTTCCACATGTGCGTTATACGGGAAACAGGTAGATTTTTCCATCAGACATTTTTGAAAAATAGCTATTTAGTATTTAGAATCTCACAAAATTTTAAATCTCACTAAATGTTCACTTTTACAGATTAAAGACAAGTCATTTAGTAGACGTCTTTCACAAAATCGCACTGAGGCACAGGAGAGGACAACAGAAGTTTACTTGGAGGACACTTCATCAAATTTAGGCTCTGTAAATACAAAAAAGGGATAATGTTAGTCAAATGCACTGTAAAAAAAATAAAACTTTAGGACCAATGCTGTCACAGTCAAACAAAACTGAAATGTCAGACCTAAAACTAAGGGTCAATCAATGCAACAACTACAAACTGCACTGTGTGAACTATCTTGTATTCTAAAGGAGTACTGAAACTAAGCAGAGGTTTACAAACCAGGGAATTTGAACTCTGGGAAGGAAGACAGATCACCACCACCGTACAACCGCTGCAGTTTAGTTATTTCCTCAGCAAGAGCCTTCTGATACTCTGGACCAGCATCAACTAGACCACCAGTGGCACTGAGAAAACACGAAAAGTTAAAATCATTAGCTTAATTAAATCACTGGCTTAATTAAAACGTAAGATTAATCACAAAGAAGGGCAACAAAACTCTTAGAGACAAACAAGAGTGTATGACAATAAAACTCTATGTACCCGCTTTTTGTGGAGTATGAGCGAATTGAATCTAGGAAAAGTTTCTGAATGGGGTCCAGTCCAGCTGACAATCACAGGAAACACAACAATTAATAAGTGCTTGTAATATATCTAAATAACAGACATGCATATAGACGCCAGAATCCCTGATATCTTGTACACTAAAGAAGAAATCAGTCGTCTTTAACCCTCATGCATGAGAAGAGTGCCTGGTGTGAAGTCTAGATCTAGTGAACTAAAGAGAACTGAGTCAAGGAGCAGGTAAGGTGGTGAGTAACTTGGACAGAGGTTGCATTTACACTGAAATTAAACGGAAGCATTTCAGCTCATAAGAGTGATGATAACCATAAACAAATGCCCATCAAACAACTCATGATTTTTGATTTAAGTAGTTGTCATACATTCTTAATTTTGCATCCCGTAATAAACTGCTGCTTCCATTCCACATACAGCAAACAGTGCAATCTCAATCTCACTCAATGCACCATACACCATACTGGGAAAGTGGGTAAGGAGCATTTCATATTTATCTTTGACATATAAACCACAGTACACGGGAAAAGAGAAAGAGGATAATTAACCGATCACTGATATCATGCGAGCCCCTGGGAAGAAAAGTGAGACACTGACAAAGAAAGTGCATTTGGGTGAGGAAAGAGTAATGGGACAGAAAGGTGAGGTCAAAGTACATTGTTACCATACTCATACTCATTAAAAAATAAACTAGTCAAAACATAGAAATGCATCATCTGAGGTGACATCTTAAGCCTAAAATTTAACATAACTGTGACTTTAACAGGAAAGAAAACCCAACATTTGATTTGTCAAAGTGACATTTTCTAATAAAGCACAACAAATGGAGCTTTATCTTTACAGATAAAGATAATTTGTATATAATAGGGCTGTCAAAATCATCAGTTAGCATGTTAATAAAATTGATATTCTGAATAATGAACAATTAATTGATATTACTGTGACAGACTAAGCATGGGATAAACAATTTACAAAAAAAAAAAGTGGCTTTCAAGTCAATATGTGGTTTCATTTACATATCAATAACATTTAGCTTACATTCAACAGTCATCTATTTTGTCTGTTTGCCTGTTGTAGACTTAAGGGACATTCATACAGGACCATATGTGCTATTTTTTGAATTGCTGGTCTATGTAAATATGCAAAGCAGACATGTCTTGTGTCGTATCTTGCTGTTTTTTAGCACCTTGCGCAATGAGCATTTCAAGTTCTTCGACTTGATTAAATGTGGTATTCCACAAGCTTTTAAGAATTAAATGTATTAAACTGACATTAAATTGATGGCCTAATAAATTAGCACTTCAGTTTGGTTAAATGTGAAATTTCAATTTTTTTTACAGTGAAATGTGCAAATATTTTTCACATTAAATTCAATGTGTTACTTGCTGTTTCTTTGTAATTATTTGTGCAATAGTTTCAAACTAAATCCCACACCAAGTTCTTTTTCAGTGTACTATATTTTTGTTAAATTGATAGCCCTAGTAAATACAGTTACTCTCTTGAGGAGTGAGGTCATAAATACAAGGACTTAAAATACAAAGACTGAACGAAGACAAAATATTTCAAAGAAAGGAGCAAAGAAAGACAGGAACAGGATACAAGAGCGATAAACAACTGAATTAACAGAAAAGAAAGGAAAAAGAGACAAGTATAGAAAAGCTGCAAAAATAATAAATATAACTGAAAGGTAGCAGTCAGGGAAATTATGCGGTGAAGAACATGCATTGCATAACATGAAGAGTAAAAAAAATTAATAATACAAACATTTCCATAAATAATGCAGACATGCGCAAAAGACAGATGACGGATGGGGAGACAGGCTATGTTCATGGACTGAAGACCAGGGCAGACTTAAAATACATAATCAAAAAGAAAAATGGTGTGCTATCTCTGCCCCAGCTTAGAAAATGAATATAGCCTTGAATGAGTAACTTGAGTCTACTTTTCTCCTGTGATATTGTGGAGAAGCAATTAGGGGTGTCACGGTTTCTAAAGATAGTGTTCTGTTGTCACAGTTTTGGTACAGTTTAGTAAAAGGTAAGTTTAAGTAAGGTAATTCACTAAAACTTAATGATCTAAAAGTAGATGCCTCATTGCTGCAGGATAAACTGCATCAGTAATACAGAGAATTAAAGTTTTATATGCATTTATATTTCAAGGGCTTAGTTAGGTAAAACTAATGTATACAAAATTATGCAAAATGCATACTATAATGTTGTTGTTTTTATGAACCGTTTCACCCCTAAATGCTCTTTGCATGTATGCTATGAACTAACACATATGCAATGACAAAAGCTAATGACACATTGTAATATAACTGTAACTGTATAAAAAAGCGTAAATGCATTGTAATAATATCTTTACCATTAGCATTACAAATTTGCATATAAACCTGTAACCGAAAAAACTGCTGTCAAAATTTTTGGTTTATCCCAATATATGAAAGGAGGTTATAGGGGATATGGTGTGTACCCTCAGATGTCTCCACAACTTCTGCTGCAACTTCAGAGGCATCTGTGATCACAGGGGCAGGATCTATCAGCTCTTCAGCAGGGGCTGCCTCTGCAAACACCTCAACAGGGGCAGATTCTGCAACTACTTCAGTGATAGCCTCTACAACTGGGGCAGCTTCGGCCACAACTTCTGCAACTACTTCACTGACAGCTTCTACAACTTCAGCAACTGCTTCTTGGACAGGGGCTTCTTCTGTAGGTACATCTTCACAGGCTGGAGCAGCAGGGGCTTCAGGAGCCGCAGTTTCAGCTGCAGGGGATGCAGTTTCAGCAATGGTTTCTGAAGGGGTAACTGTGGCCTCAGGTGTAGGCGCAATGGCTTCAGCTGCAACAGCTTCGGCTGTGGGAGCAACGGCTTCAGCTGCAGGGGTGGCTTCGACTGCTAGGACAGCGGCTTCTACTGTGGGGGCAATGGCTTCAGCTGCAGGAGCAACGGCTCCAACTGCAGGGGTGGCTTCGACTGCTGGGACAGCGGCTTCTACTGCGGGGGCAATGGCTTCAACTGCAGGGGCAGCAGCTTCAACTGTGGGAGCAGCGGCTTCAACTGTGGGAGCAGCGGCTTCAACTGCAGGGGTGGCTTCGACTGCTGGGACAGCGGCTTCTACTGCGGGGGCAATGGCTTCAACTGCAGGGGCAGCAGCTTCAACTGTGGGAGCAGCGGCTTCAACTGTGGGAGCAGCGGCTTCAACTGCAGGGGTGGCTTCGACTGCTGGGACAGCGGCTTCAACTGCGGGGGCAATGGCTTCAACTGCGGGGGCAACGTCTTTAGCTGCAGAAGCAATGGCTTCACCTGCGGGGGCAGTGGCTTCAACTGTGGGGGAAGAGGCTTCGACTGCAGGGGCAATGGCTTCAGCTATGGGAGCAGTGGCTTCAGCTGCAGGCGCAGCGGCTTCAACTGCAGTGGCAGTTACAACTGGTTCAGGTGCAGGGGCAGCAACAGATGCAGCTTCTGTAGAGGCAGCAGCAACTGAAGCTGCAACCTCTTTCTTGGGGAATTCCACATATGATCTGTGCTGGACAAGTTTTTCTAAATCGAAGTACGTTTTTGATGCTGCTTTTTCTAGGATGGAGGGGGAAGGAGGGCACAAATAGAAATGTAATGATTTGCTTCATCATTGACATTATCAGGCTGAATGGAGACTGCTAAATTCATACAGCAAAATAACTTACCCAGTTTCTTCAACAATTAGGTGCAGATGATATAGCCTGACTTATGTACATCAAATTTGAACTATGGCTAATTAAAAAATTAATCTGATAGGAAAAGTAACCTAAACATTTCACATTCAGTAAACCACATTTTGATAAATATTATATATATATACATACATACACACATACAGTGGGGAAAATATTTATTTGATCCTCTGCTGATTTTGTAAGTTTGCTCGCTTACAAAGAAATGAAGGGTCTGTAATTTTTATGGTAGGTTTATTTTAACGGATAGACACAGAATATCAACCCAAAAATCCAGAAAAAACATTATATAAAGGTTATTCTAGAATTACTGAAGCTAAAAGGTTACATATTCTCATATTACAATTATTTTAAAGTAGCGCCATGTAACTGTCCTGAATCAGATGACACAACTGTTCACACTATATATTTGAATTTGTGGTCAAACATGATCAAACTCTGGTACCAGCACATAATCATCATGATTATTATTAATACTGATAATAAATATTATTATTAATATTATTTATTTATTTATAATGTTCAGCACAAAACATGTTTTGTTCATCTTTTATTTTCAACAAGAAGTCACTTGTTGGATTATTGGCTTCACCAAATTCTATTGAATGAACAGAGGGAGCGGCTTCATGAACGCATTCATGCAGTGCATTCTTTAACTCCAAATGTTAGGGTGACATATATAAGTAGTTAGGACATCCACATATAGCACTAAGCATATCTGCCGGTACAACAACACATGGCAAGCCCTTTCTCAAGCCCTCTGCCACCTCTAACCTCAAAGGAACATAGAACAATTATGGATCACAGGTCATTACGTTATCTTCAAGACTTCAATGTGACCAGTTTTACTTGTTTAAAAATGCCAAAAAACAAAAACAAAAAAAAAACAGAATTCTCTTTAAATTATAATCAACATCCCATCTTTGTGTCTTTATTAACAATATAGACGTGGGCCTGTTTCATGTAATATAACATTTATTTCTTACTTAAAGTTACTTTTTCTTTTATCACAATGCTCACACTCAACAAACTAATTGAAGTTGCATAGAACATTCTTCAGCAGACCTATGCTAATTTCTATTAAATCACTGTCAAACCCATTTATTTTCTGGTGTCAGTTCAAGCCTCTATAAATCTAACCGTTTAGTTATGTACTAAAAATGTGCTGCTAATGCAAAAATTATGCAGGTACCACACTTTGATCTGCTGATTCTAGAAAATTCTGGTCCATCTTTTCCTTTTGTATATACAGTCATGGCCAGAAGTTTGCAAACACTATACATTTTGATGTTGCTGACAGTGTAAACTGTAAAAACAAACACATCTGTTTCTGGAATACTACTGTCTTTTAAACTTGTTTGCCCTTATCAACCTTGGATATGACAGCAACATTTTAAAAAGCAATGTTTACAAATACATGATATCATGTTATATATGTCTTTTAATTAATATCTTTTAATTAGTCACATATTGTATTGTATTAGGGTTTAATATCATCTTCCAACATTCCAAATACATTGTATTCTGTATCTGTATTCTATACAAACTTACTAATATTATATTAAATATTATTACTTGTCTGACTGAAATACCCGATTATGATTGTCCAATCACTGAGGTCAAATATTTTTGTATAATGACTACTAAACTTTATAACTGACTGCTCTTCACAGTCCTTTTCTTCTCCCATAACAAATTGATTGCAAATTCATATTTCTTGTCCATTTTTGCATTTAATTCATCATAATAACAGGCTTTGCATTTGGGGCTTAATTGCTCTGTTAGGGTTTATTTTGCAACAGATGACTACATGTTATCCCTTACATGTATTAATTTGAAAAGTGAGTGCAAATAAATGAGATTGTAAAGTATCCGTTTGTGTAAATTAGAAAAATGTGCATAAATACAATATTACTTAATATGTCAACGTCAAAGATTTTGAACACTTTTGGCAATGAATTTGATATGGGTATTTTCATTTGCATGATATTTCTTCTACACGACACATAGTGACAGGAACACTCCAGCAGGTTCAGAAACAACAGCTGAGGTCAGAGGACATGTCCCATGAACCACATGAACCTCAGTTTTCCCATGTATGACATCAAGATCTGAAATACAGAGCCCTCTTCCCCCAAAAGAACGGCATATGATATATACAAAATGATTGTGACATAAATAGAAATTTTTTTTACCTTTGTTGGACTTTTTGGACTTCTTGCTGTCCCCAGATTTGGAGCTGAAAGCTACAGCAGGAGCTCTTCTGATGGAACTCAAGCCCTCCGTCTGCAGACACTAACAACAAGAGACACACAAAAACAACACAGATTAAAAAAAAACGCAGCAAATCCCGATGAATAATCACAACCACCATTGTGCAGTTATATTTACACCACTGAACGCTGTTTGCTGTGGTCTCAAAAAAAATGTATCTGCAAAAAAGTACAGTGTTCTCATGGAAAGTCTGCGAGTTGACAAACACTTTCAGTTTTTCCAGTGGATATTCAAACAAATAATTTTCGGCAATTTTAGGAACACTTTATAAAAACGAAAATATAGGTAAAAAAAACAAAAAAAACCGTTAGAAAATAAAAAAGAGAAGAAGAAAAAAACCCACTAAAAAAATATTTGAAACGCACACTATTTTAGATGCAGATGCATAAAATCTGATCCACGTTGGGTAAATGCACTTATTAAATACCAGGAATATTTTCATGTAAATAATGTCGTGCATGTAAATTCAGCACAAAGAAGGGATTCATGCGTCGAGTCTGGGTGGATTAAAGGCAGAGTGAGTGATTTCTGGTAGCCAATGTTGATATTTGAAATCACCAAAACAAACACGCCCCTACCCCAAAAGGGTCTTGCCCCTATTTTGATAGCTCCGCCCCACATATACGTACGCAACCCAGGCAACGATTAGTTCTGTGAAACAAAGCAAAACCAATGTTACACCGTGTCTACGGACGTGAGCGGCGCGGCGCAACAAATCCCCGACAGAAAACTGCTGCCAGGTTCTATTTATGACGTGCTGACACAAATTTCAAATGGTTTTCAACGGTCGTTTGATCGCGTCCAGTGTAGGCAGACTTTAGCTGTTGTAGACACGGTGTTACTCACCTATTGAGAAGAAACAAAGCAACCTCGGCGTCCGATCGCAGGCCTCCGCTCCTTGAGTTCTCTCCAGCGCTGGAAAGCTGATCCGATATTTACACGGGTCCTACTTCTTGCCTTATCGTTCCGCAGATGTTTTCCTCTTTTGTTTTTTTTATCAGCCATCTGTATCTCTCTGTCGCTCGGCTCGGCTAATGTCCGTCCCATGCACTGAACGCGCTCTCCTCCACATCACGAGTAGACACGCCCCTTATTGCTGATTGGCTACAAGTTTGTTTTGCGATTCGGCCCGAATCAGTTTTATAAAGTGTTTTTGAAAAATCACTTACTCTGCCTTTAAATGCGTCAGTGCTTTAACATTCGAGCAGCATTAGCTTGTGTTCACAATAGGACTCTGACTGCCCAATTTCACACGTTTAAATAACACGAGCTAGAATATATAAATGCACTATAATATGCATGCATATTTCTTAATAAATGTCGAAAAAACGGTGGATTACCCTGAGAGATCCGAGTCGTCCTACCCTGAGCAAAGAGGCTGCCATCTTTACCGCAGAAACCCTATGAAGAAAAACAGCTGCATGAATCAATGTTGATAAAGTGATTGTAAATATTTAACATCGTCAATTTAAAGTTCGTGCAACTACTGTTTAGAAAAAAATTACAATTGTTACTTCATAATTTGCACGAAATCAGATCTGTTCTGTATTATTATTATTATATATACAGCACATAGCACAGATATAGAAAATACAATAGCTCACATTGACAGTGATCAGTGTTTGTTATGCACATCATTTACAATATACAACAAGAAAAAGAAAAATGAAAATTACCTAGATGAGATGTGTTGTGTTTTGTGCCACTGAATCCTATAAAGTTACCTGACTGTGACAAATCTTTAAATCACAGCTCTACTTTGAGGAAGTCTTCACAAACAACAGCTACTAAACTCATGAAAGATCGTAGCAAAGTAAAAAGAAGTGTTGCATGTAACGTTACTGAAGCACACTAAAGAAGCGCCCTTACATAAAGAACACGCCCCCTCCTGATAATGTCCGATACAAACGAGGTGTTATTATTGTTGTTGTTTTTTTTACCTAACATTGTAAGTTATTAAGTTAAATAGAAAACGAATAAATCTTTTTAATATCACTGAAGCGTTATTAGTAGCGAAGGTGTCAATAACATCAGGTCTTCTTCGGTACACTCTTTATGGCGGTTTCGTGATGCCAGATTCCTGCACGTTTATGTTAATGACGCGTTAAATGCGCGACTGTCAGCTCGCACGTGAACAACAATCATCATGGCGGTAGTGTGTGCAAAAGCAGACTGGTTTGTTTCAAGCTGTTCTACTACTTTAGTTGCTATAAACCTTAAACAGACTAGGTGAGTAGCTGTATTTGAGACTGTCCGCTGTCTGTTCAGTTCCAGCTCTTTATTTTGGATATGCTGCAGAAGCATTGGTGTGTCAGCAGCACTCCGAACTATAGTCATCACTAAGTGATTAAACTACATGATTTTCATAAACTTACCTGGGATTTTGCACATATCAGTACTGTACTGCAAAGTTTTCCCAAGTTCCCAAGTCCATTTAGCATCATCATATTGCACTGTAGTTTCTATACATTACTCTTCCCGTGCTGTTATCTTAATGTTTAATTCAATTTAATTTAATTAAGTTTTTTCTTCTGTCCTCTGGAGCCTGTAGAAGCTGCATTTAATTGCCTATAATTACTGCTGCTTGCTTTATTGTTGTACCTTTGCTTAATACACTTTGACTTGAAATGTACTGCAAACTGTGATAAATACACATTTTGTTATGCTGATTATGAAGATATAAAACACCAGTTTTATCTTGTCTTTTTGGTTGAATTCAAATTTGGGTCAAATTCAAACTGGTTGAATGAATTCATTAAAGTAAAATGCCATGAAACATTTAGAAATGCATTATTTTGACTTTATGATTATATTTAAAAGGGGTCATATGATGCGATTTCAATTTTTCCTTTCTCTTTGGAGTGTTACAAGCTGATTGTGCATAGATAAGATCCCTGAAGTTGCAAAGACTAAAGTCTCAAAACCAAAGAGATATTCTTTATCAAAGTTAAGACTCTGCCACGCCCCCCTAAAAGCTCGTTCTAACACGCCCCCACATATCTACCTCACTATGTGGAAATATTTGCATAATGCGGCCCAAATGTGCACGCAAAGAAAGAAGGCGTGGTTTCAGTAACCGCAGTTAGTGTTGAAGCAGCATGTCAGGGAGACGCTGTGTGTTTCTAGGTGAAAGCAAAAGCACTTTATTTGGCCTTCCGGAAGTAGATGCATTTAGGAATCTTTAAGATTACTTACAACAGAACAGCAATGCATTTTATGGACGACCGTTTCGTGAACCTAGGAGAGGAGGTAATTCTGACTTTGCTATGACAATCTGGCGCTTCTGAATCAGCTACTGTTTTGTTATTAGTTTAAGTATTTGCTATTGACTGTTCAAATGCGGAGTTTTGTTTGCGCATCGTGTGTGTGTGTGTGTGCGCGCGAGAGAGAGCGCGAGAGAGCGAGCGAGAGAAAGAGAGAGAGAGACAGGGTCACATCACAGTGGAGTCAGCTGTCTTAACCGTGGCTTGTGTATTGCTAACACATACCAGCTTCATCACTGTGTCTGTCACGCGACTCTGTTCCCCTTTCGGGCTCTGTCTTTACATTTATTTTGAAAGATGAAGCTCGCGATTATGGTAAGGGGCGTTACATTTCCGACGAGTGCTTGCGGTGTTCGGCCAATCACAATGCACTGGGTCAGCTGGCCAATCAGAGCAGACTGGGCTTGTCGGAAGGAGGGACTTTGTAGAAAACGAAGCGTTTGAGAGAGGCGGGGCATAGAGGACCTACAATAATGTACAGTATTTGAAAAATAATGTGTTTTTTGAACATTAAAGCATGTCAACATATTCTGTTACACCAAATACACAAAATAATGATCTTTAAAAAAGCATCATATGACCCCTTTAAGAATCTATACATAAATGAATCAGGTGATACCAGCTGTGCTGATATCAGTACTGCAGATTGATTGTGTTAATTAAATATCAAAAATCTTTATATTAAACTGATCAGAGGGCTTCAGCATTGATATTTTAGCATTAGCATATTTGATGATCTCTCAATATTGTCTATTTGCACCCTGTACTTGTTTTTTATTTTATTTTTATACTTGGCAAAAAAAGACAAAAGTTTGCTTTTCACATTTTTCTGATAGAGAGCCGTTTGTGTTCGATTGTGCCAAAGCTGAGAAAAAACCAAAGGAAGCTGATGGTGATGATAAAAGGTAACTTGAATATTTTTGTATGTTTCTTTTCTCTTTATGAGTTCTTTATCTGAGGGTTACGTCACAAGATGTAGAAGAAATATCTTAAAATGTTTATCTGTGTATTGCAGTGCTGGGGAAGGATCAGAGGAGAAGGAGAGTGGCAGTGACAGGATTCTAGCGTTTGCTGTGTCAGTGTCTGGGAAGCATGCAGCGCTCACTGACGACCACAAACGTCTTGTTCTCTTCTGTACTGAGCCATCGTGGCACTGCATTAGTACACGGTGACAACACAATCTCATTCCTGAGGTTATTTACCTAAACATGAAATGTACTCACCATCACTCGTATCAGTCCAAACCTGTATCACTTTCTCTCGCATTGGGAACACACATATTTTTGAAGAATATGCTGAACAATTTAGGACTGACCCATTTCTCTTTATTGAAAAATGTCGCTAGTATACTAGTTTTCAAAATCGTTTGAAACGGGTTTGGAACAACGTAAGGATGAGTAAATGATGACATATTTTTTTCTTTTTGGGTGATCTGTTCCTTCAGTGCTAATTTCTCTGTAAGGCTCAGTGTAAGTCTATGATTGTCTTCTTGTAGGTGGGTTGTGCGGCGGTGCATGTCTCTTCTATTTACTCAGGCTGAGGATGAAGTCTTTGTGGCTAATAAGTCTGGGGATGTTTATTCATTCTCTGTTCTGGAACCACACAAACCAGGAGAGCTGAAGCTGGGACATCTCTCCATGTTATTAGATGTGGTATGATCTGCAGAACAGTGCTTTTCATTGGCAGTTTTCATTGTGAGAGTTAGTGCTGAAACCAAACAAAAAAATGTAAAAGTTTAATATTGTATCCTTTTGTGTATTTTCAGCTTTAAAAAATATGAGTTTAATATTTTATGCTTTTGTATTTTCCTCTACAGACACTTTCTCCTGATGATAAATATATCATAACAGCAGACCGAGATGAGAAGATCCAAGTGAGTTTCCGGCGGTCACCCTACAGCATTCAGGCTTTCTGTCTAGGGCACAGAGAGTAAGTGTGGACTGTGACAACCTCATATGTTGTTCCCACTTGTTCAAACATGTTTGTTCTCTCATGCAGATTTGTCAGTGCATTGCTTGTGCCTGTGGGACATCCTGACTGGCTTCTTTCTGGTTCAGGAGTATGTGTTTTTCCAGTTTACCTTACATTTTACTGTAATATTCTATTGGGATAGTGATTATAAGGGTTATGTAAGTGTCTTAATGCGGTAGGACTGACATGGTTGTGTTCACAGGATGAAACAATGAAGGTCTGGCATTATGAGACTGGCCGGCGGTTACACAACATTGACCTGAGGCAATTCACCCTTGAATCTGAAAACACAGACACAGAAAAGGTGCCGTCCATTTGTTATCAATGAGCCATTCACGCACATAATACATATAATGTGTACTACAATCCCACAAAATTACATTATACTGTATATTAACCTAGATATAAGGTTTTCAACTGAAGGTCTGTGGACCTCTGGGGTCTAGAGCTTTAACTTGTTTTTTAATTATTAAAACATATAATTTAGATAATTTATACTTTATGTATCATATAATATATGATGTAATTTATGGTTGCCTTTGTTTATTTTTCATATGCAAAATTCACAATATTGTAGTGGCAATATTATTTGCAGGCGCTCAAGCAGGGCTAGAAAGTGAGGTGGTGAATTCTCCAGGTAAAAGAAAAAAAGTCAAGAGAAGACTGCTTTTAGGTACTTTTAAAATGTTATTTATAAATATAGATTTGTACACAGTGAGTGTTTGACAAATCACAGCAATATGTACAATAAATCCACTTTAAGAGAAAAAAAAACATGAAGAATTGCATATTTTTTTGAGGGATGCAAACTATGAAGACATTTTTACTTGATGAAAATGCATTGAAAATCCTAATTTTTTAATTAGTAATTTACAAACATCACTGCATGGTATATTCATTTATATATGAAAATATATAAATCAAAGTATCGTGATATTTTAACTACAAGAATATACATTAACGATGTAAAACGTAATGTTAGTTAATGATAATATTGAATGTTTTTTATTAATGTTTCATTAAATTTCAAATTGAATTACCAAAATAATGTAAATGAATTAAAATGCTGAGGGGGGAGGGGGTTAAACTGTAATGGAAGTTCTTTTTTACTGTTTTCCCCTCAAGAAATTTTTATTGAACTATTAACTTCTTAATTGTGGTTGGTTGATTAATTGAATGTATCTACCTAGTTTGTGTTAATAAAAGAGTTTGAAAACAAACGGCTTTCTCATTATTACAGCAGAAATACTGGAAGAAATGTTTTAGCCTACGGTATATGGAGGTGCCTTCAGTTACTGGGTTTTGACAACTCAAGCTCAGCGAGTTTAGAACCGCTGCTATAGTGTTTATTTCCATTCAGATCCAGGTGTGTATATTTTGTAATTGACCCCGATCTCTTTTAAAGAGACACTGTGACTATATTTCTTTCGGTCTTCAGAGGTTTGCTGTCAGCAGGATCATCAGCTCACCGGATGGACGACATGTAGCTGTCCAGTGTGAGAGGTGTGTTTCATTTCTGCAGATTTCTGGTTATGTTCTCAGACACAACTGGACTCTGGGAGACTCTCAGTGACAACAACAGTGTTCTTTTGTTAAAATGGAAACACAAGTCTTAAGAAAGTGTCTTTTACACACAAATCATACATTTAAATGGTTAAAATCATATCCATCTGTGTAGATTCCCCTCAGTTCAGCTCTTCACGGTGGATTCTGGGACAGGGGGGTGTCTGAGCCCTGCTGAGACTCTTGCTCTTCCTCATGCTCCCTGGGACATGACATTTGATTCACGGAGCCGGTTGTGGGTCTTACTGGAGAGTGAAGACGTGAATGTTCTCCTGTAT